GAATTTGAAATTCCAATATTTGGATTAGACGAAGGAATCGAAGATTTAATTTCTTATTATGAATTTCTACTTTTAGGTTAATTTATTTATTGTTAACCTGGTTTATTAGAACTTATTTAAGGTTATTATTAATTCCCTTAAGGTTTTTAATTAACTTATAAATTACTTTTTTATTATGTGGAAGGATTTTTATAAGAACTTGGTATATTATTATTGTTTTACTTTTATTAATCAAATTAGTTCATATGATTATTTTTTAAAGGGACTGATTATTGTTACGTTTCTTATTTCGGAACAACAGTTTTTTATTGTTTTTCAAAAACTTATTTTAAAGCAATTTCTTCTTGAATTTTTCTTTGTCTTTCAAATTCATTTTTATTTTATTATTCATTAAATTTTTATTATTGAATTTTTTTTTGTAGTTCGAGATTTTTTCTTTCTTATTCTTGTTTTTATTTTTTTCTTCTTCTTCATTAATTCCGACACAAGTATTGATATGTATTTCATAATCTTATAACATTATATATTTTTTACATAACCCACATATTTTTGTCCTACTTCCACAACTAACTTCATGTTATTTATATTCGTGAAATACTACTTTCACTTAACAATAATGACATTCTTTGGGTCTCATTTAGCATTCTGTATCTTAGTGTTATTTTAAAAGCGTTTAATTTGCTACTTATTTGCTACATTATTCGCATTTTAATGATGTATGAAATTCCTTTTGGTGATTTTCCATTTCACGTTTATCTATAAATGCATTACATTAATCACATTTTCGAATATTTCGAAAACAATAAGCCTCGTGGAGAGAATGCTTACTTTCAGGTAGTAAGGTGAAACAATTTGAACAAAGTATTTATTTTTCAGATTCCATTTTTATATAAAAGAAATTAAGTAATTTTTTTCTTTTTTTTTGTTAATTTTTTAAATAATTATTAAAATTGTATTCTTTTATTTATATATAAATATTTTAATGTATAATTTAATTTTTAAAAAATAATGTATTAATATAAAAACAAGATCAGAATGAAAAAAAGAAAAAATAAGAAATTTAAATTTATTTTTGATTATTTCAAGAAAAATAAATTACTATTTTTATATTATGTAAATATGTATATATTAAAAATTTTAACAATAATTTTATATAATTAATGTTTTTATTTTATATTTATATATATGACTTTAATAAAAAAAAATATTTTTTATATTTTGGGGGTAGATTATGAATTATATATATAAAAATTTGTACAAATAAATATTTTATCAATCATAATAAAAATAATAAATATATTTAAAATATTTTATCATTGAAAAATATCTTATTTACACATAGGGCAACTTAAATATTATAAGAACCATTTATAAAGGCATTATTCATGAAAAATATGATTACATTTAGTTTTCCTTACCTAATCATTATAATTAAAATCATTTTAACATATAGTGCATATTTATTCTTTAAATGATTCATTATTTTAATAAGTTTCATATTAATCAGCCTCTGTGCAAATATTCATTTCATCTTTAACTTATTATTCTTGAAGAGATTTTTATTAAATTAATTATTTATCAGTTTTACTAATCATATTTTATTTTTGTTTTTTTATTTCTTATAATTGTTAAATATAATATTATTAATCCTATAAAAGTATATAATAATAAATTTAAACATTTTTTTTTTTACTTATTTGAATTCTTTATTTCTGAAATTAAAACTTATAAAAATAATTGATATAACAACAAATACAAGACTAAAAATAATAAATAAATATACGTTTTTTTCTCTATTTTCTTCCAACATATTCACCATTATTTAAATATATATTTGAGTTTCATAAGGATTTATAACAAATAAATTCATATTATATTCCTTTTTTATATTTAAATTTATAATTTTATCATTAAAAATATATTTCTCTTTATAATAATGTTGATTTGCTAAATTAAATTAATCTCCTTAATAAAATGAAATACTTTAAATATTTGTTTTTTATAATAAACATTACAATTTAATTTCTTCTGTTTTTAATTCTTTTGAAATAAAAATATACTTTCCTTCAAAAGGATCTAATTATAATTCAATTTATTATTTGTTTTCTAAATAAATTTATTCATATTCGCATCTTACACCATATCTTTATTCATAACAATTGCAAATATCATTATTATAGTCATATTATCCATTATATGAACATGGATTTTAAGGTATTTAAATTGCAAGAATCATTTAACATTTAGTAATTTAAAGGGAAGATAATATTTTAATTTTATAACAGTAATTTTTTTAGACTGGAATTATAAAAGTTTTATTTTATTAAGGAAGTGTAAATCTTGAAATTTTATTTTTTTAAATTTAATTATTGTCATTATAGAGTTCATTTTCGTTAGGGAATTCAAATATATCTACTTCTAAAGATGGGTCATTTTCACAATATATGCCTTATAAGAGAATTTGATTCATTAATGAGAGACCGTTTTTAAATTGCCAAGTTTATTAATTATTTTAGATTGTAAAATCTTCAGTATGCTATTTTGTTAAAAGGAGTATTTCTGTTTTACTATATTTAGTAAATATGAATATTAAAATCAAATATATAGAAAAAAATTATTAATATAAATATATTTTCATTATTTTTTTTTAAATTTAATATATTTATTATTCTTTGATATGTTTAACGAAAATTTTTTTCATGAATTTTAATAATAAATTCATTATATTTCATAATAATGCAAAAATAAAAAACAATAAATTTCTACATTTTTTAAATTTTTAATTCTATTCTAAAAACTAGTTTTTTTATATTATATATAAAAAAATGATTTTAGACTTTATAATAAAAAAATGGTTTTTCTACAATTATTATTAAATAGCTTTATATTAAATGATTGTAAGAGTATTTAAATTTTTTTGTTTAAAAATAAATGTAAAAAAATTAAATTTTTTAGATAAAAAAAATTGAGTATAATTATATTATTATTTTTCAGATTTAAATAAAAATAATACTAAAATAAAATGATTTAAGAAATTTTATTTCCACTAAAAAGTCCTGTAATCATAATTTAACACTCATATGAAAAAATGCAAAAATAATTTCAAATATAAGTTAAGAATTTAACTCCAAACAATTAAAATCATATTGAATTTGCATATTTATTAAAAAACTAAAAATAATTAGTTTTCGAAGAATTTTTTAAATAATATGATTTCAAAAAATATGGATCGATAGTGTAAATAACCATTAGAAACAGTAACTTAACATTTTAAGATATTTAGCAATTATTTGGAGAATTATCAGATCAATTAAATAAAATAAATACACTAAATTTGATTTCAAATGGCAATTAATTTGACTTAAAAAGCATATAATATATATTAGAGAATAATCTTTTTTAAAATATTTAAATATTAAATTTAAAGAACAATAAAAAAATAACAGATGAAATATTTAATTAACTAAAAAACTTGTAAAAAATAGAAGAGCTGAACTTAAACGATACAAATATATCCGATGAAGGTTTATTTATTCTTTAAAAATCTAATTATGTGAAAAACTTGAAAAGCTTAATAATATCGAGAAATCATAATATAAAAACATTAAAAGGATTATGTGAAAGTATTGGACAATAAAAATTAGAAAATTTAACAAAATTAGATGTTAGTTTTACTTCTATATATGAAAGTGGATTTTAAAATTTAAAAAAAGCCTATTTTTTCAGTTAATTGGAATATTTAGATATATCAGAAAACTTTCCAAATATTTATAATAAAAAGGAATATTATTAAGATATGATTTAATTTGAAAACGAATGCAATTTAAAATATTTATATTTAAAAAATATGTATTTGGATCAAGATTAATTTAATAAATTTTTGGAAAACAATTTTTAAAAAATTTAATATATAGATTTGGAAGGAAATCATAATATTTTTCATAATCTTTAATTAAACAAATAAACTTTTTTATAAAATCTGATTTCCTTGAATATTAGAAATACAAATCTACAGTAAGAAAATAATATTCAAAATTTTTTTCAATATTTTTAATTCCTTTAAAACATAGATTTCGGATATAACTATTTAGGAGACAATAAAATAAAATAAATATTTTAAAAACTCCATGAAAACTCAAATTAATTAATAAGTATTGGGTTAGCTGCAAATAATTTAAGCCTTGATTGCATTGCTTTTTTGTTTTAAAGTTTTCCTGACTTAATATAAAATTTATAATGGCTTAACTTAAGAGAAAATCAATTTTAAGATGGAATTGTTGATATTTTAATTTAATTCGGCAAATAAATTAAGTTTAAATATCTAAACTTGAGTTCATGTAATCTTTCTTAAGAAAGTTTTGAAAAGCTCTTGAAATGTAAAAATTTGATATCAAACATTCAAGATTTAAGATTAAGTGAAAATAACTCTTTTGAATAGGAAAAAGTTTATAACTACTTAAATAAAAATATAAAAAATCTATAAAATATTAAAAAAATTTCTCTAGGATCAGTTTGTTAAGAAAACATTATAATTTAAGAAAGCCTTTTTATTACGCCTTTTTTTTGTGATGATTTAGATTGAAATTTTTTACATAAATTTATTTTTAAATCTCATAATTGTTAAAATATATAAATTTATATTATTTTAATATTCTTTATTATTTTTAAACACTAATTTAAATTAATGATCTTACTATTATAAATATATTATATGAATATAATTAAAATATGATAGAAAATTAATTATACTAATTAAATAATAAAAGTATATTTTTAATATTATTTCAATTAAATTCATTTTAATTTTATTTATTATTTTTATTCATTTTTTGTTCTATTTAATTTATCACCATATTATTATTATTTAATTTACAGCTGATAATTGTAATTATTTTAGCTTTTATAATATTCAATATCATATCCTCCATACCTTGATTAAAAGATAATTTTTTATTATTAATTATTATTAGGCCTTTATTATAATTACAAAGAATCCTGGTTTTTGTTTTTTTCTAATTTTGGACTATTATTATAGTTCACTTTATTCAAAGGTGAGCTTTATTCTCTACTTTTTTAAGTATTTAAAAACTCATCTCCATGTTAAACTAGCCATAAATTACTTTCTTAATTCATGTTATTAATAATTTATTATTTTTAATATTTATCCCATTAAATATCATTATTTTATTATGATTATATAGTTTTATTATTATTAATAGAGCAATTATTAATATTTGCTTTATTTAGATTCTATGTAATGGTTTTGTTATTTATATTTTAATAGTTATATTTTTTTAAATAAGACACTTAAAGCTAATAATTTTTAATTTATTAATCTTTCTTTTCTAATTTTCTTTATAATTATATTATGGTATCCTATAGATTTTTGCTATTAATATCGTTAAGTTCTTAATTTATATTGTTTATTTAATCATTAATTGTTTCTTCATTTTAACTCTTTTTATCTTATTCTTAATCATTTTATTAATCTTAATATTAATTTTAGTCTTCTTAGCAACCTTCATTATCTTAATGATTATACTATTTAGACATTTTTTTAATATTTTTTTTTATCTTTTTTATTTTTATTTTTATCTAAATGGATTTTAATTGGTGAGAATTTTAATTATGAAATATATTATATAAAAAAAATTACTTTTAAATATTAGTTATTTTATGATAAAATTAAAATTAATTTTATAATTTAATAATTTCAAAAATTAAATTAATTTTGAATATATATTTGTGTTTTTTATATATATTTTAAAATTAAAATAATAAATAAAGTCTTAATAAATATAATATACACAAAAAATATTTAATAATATAAATATTAAAAAAATAAAATAAAATTAGAGTAAAATATCATTCATCCTTTTTTCGTTTATCAATTAATTAAATATTCCCTACACGTTAAAAAGCTTCCCTTTAATATTTTTTTTTAATTGCTTAACAATTATTTTCATGGACATGCTTCAATGAAAAAATTAAATCTTTTACACAGTCCATTAATTATTATTCCGAATATCCACTATCATATTTAAGAAGGGGATTCCAAGCTACAGTTTACTTTTTTATTTTATTACATAAAAAAACAGCTGAAGCTGCAATTTTACTTACAGGATATTTCAAATATCTATAATCTCCAAGAGCCAAATCAAGTAAATATTAAACAAAGCAAACATCATATGTATTAAGCTATCCAATTCTGGAATACCATATAGCAAATCTATAAGATGTTGGCACTGTTATTTTAAAGTTTAAATTTTTTAATATATCTCCTTCAAATACTAGAATTTCTTTTTATGAAATATCACAAGTTTCAATGAATTGTTCAATAGAAGGAGGATAAATTTCTTCATATTTACTTGATATATATAAAGAAGTAATACCTAATAAATATAATTAAGATTTTTCGATTTTTTTTATTGATAAATATTTATCTATTATATAAATAGTTAAGTGTAATGTTTCTGGTAATAATCTGAACTATAGATGAATTTCAACAAGCCAATCGACTAAAACTGTACGCATTTAAGATGTAATTTCAGGTTAATGTAATAAGTATGTATAATCAATTTTATTTAATTACTAATTTTGATTTATTATAAAAAATTTATTTTTTATTTTTTACTTCTTATTTTTGAAGATATTTAAATATTTCTTGTTGGTATTCGGATACTAAACATGGATTATTTGAATCTTTAGAATTTATAGTTTCATATTCTTATTCAAAATCTAATCTTTTTTTTTCTGGAATGGATTATGGCTTGGAATTTTCATTCTTTAATTCAAATAATAATGTTTTAAATAGTTTTTTTATTTTAAATATACATTTTATGATTTGAAATTCTATAAATTTAATCCAAATTTTCGATTTGGAAGTCTATCAATTATTGGATTATTACCAGTAATTTGAGAATTTTTTATTATATTAGTTCTTTTTTACATATTCATTTTTTATATTTTTTTTTTTTTTTATGTGTTTAATTTTTTTATTTTTTTATTTTTTTTTAATATTTAATTTCAAAATTATTTTGTAATTTATTTTGTAATTTTTTTGCTATAAAAATAAAAAATTTAAAATACAAATTCAATTATTTTGAAATTTAAAATAATTGATAAATATTAATAATTTTTAACATTTAAATACTATTAATAAAATAAAAATATATGCTTTTAATATTTGTAACAAAATTTATAATTTTAAATAGATATTATCCTAATATAAATTTTAATTTCTTTTAAATTAAATTTATGTTTTATTATAATTCACTTTTATAAAAAAATGGTTAATATTTTAACTAAAATTAATATTTATATTTTCATATTTTCTTATGTAATTAATTTTATATTTATTAAATATTAATTTCATTTATTATTTCAATTTATTAAAAATAAGAATTTTAAAAAAACACAATAAATAAAGTCTGTTTTAATTTAAAATAGATAATAATAATTTATATATTAAAAATTAAAAAAATAACTAAAACAATAAAATTAATAATTATTATATTAAAATAAAAATAAAAATTTATTATTAAAATTTTTTATTCTATTAATTTATATTTTTTATGTATAATTAATTATATTAACTTTTTTATTCATATAATCATTTAATCCACTTTATCTTTTTACCGTTTTTCCATTCTCCTTTCTTTTCTTTTTATCCTTAAATTAATAAAATTCCAATACCATGTTGTTTTCCATTTTTCCAATTACCTTTGTATGTTTTACCTAAATGATTTTATTTAAAAAAAATGTTAAAAAAATAAAATATCAAAACCATCTGGCCATTCTAAAATTCCATAGCCGTGTTTTTTATCAGATTTATATTCACCTTCATATTTTCTTCCATCTTTCCAAGTAAAAACACCTTTACCTTCCATTTTATTTTCTACCCAATCTCCTGTATACATTCTTCCATCAGGCCATTAATAAGTGCCTTTTCCATTAATATTATTTTATTTGAAATTACCTTCATATGTGGAACCATCGGCCCAAACAAATTTTCCATACCCATCTTTTTTCCCATTTAAATAATCACCTTTATAAACTGCTCCATCTGGCCAAGTTTCAGTACCAGTGCCATTTTATTTATCATCTAACCATTCGCCTTCATATTTAGCCTAATCTACGTGTAAATAAACACCTATTCCGTTTGCTTTATCATAACTCCATTAACCTATATAAGCGTCTCCATAAGAATGTATAAGCCTTCCTTTTCCTTATGCCATATCTAATTTACAAAAAATATAATAAAATTAAATATTTTAAAAAACATACTTTCTTTCCAGTATCCTTCATAAATGCTACCATCTACCCATAATTATTTACCTCTACCATGTCTATTTCCATTTTACCATTATCCAATATAAATGGAATCATTTCTGAATTAATAAGGCCCATATTCTGGTAAATTTTTATCTTCTTCATTATCTTCATCATATTCAAATGTACCTAACTATTCAAGTGTTTTTTTAACAACATAATTTAGATAATCTGGAATAAAAGAAATAGGCTTTGCGATTTAAAAATTAGGAGCATGCAATGGTACTTCATCAGTTTATTTTTATATATTTTTTTATTATTATATTTATTGATTTCTATCAGTTAAATTTTGCTTTATATCTTCTATTTGTTATGAAGAATAATTAAAAGTTATTTAATTATGACTTCTATTTATTTATGTATTGGGATCTTATATATAATTTGTTGGATCGAATTCTTGTATATTTTAAAGCTTTAAATGATTTCTAGATGTACTTTTCTCAATTTGCATTTATTATTCTTATTATATTTGTTTTTAGTTTGAAATTGCTTACTAACAACATGTGTTGCCCATAAATATTTTTATTTTTTATATTATATGTTAATTAATATTTTTTATATATTTATTTTACTAATTTATTAAAACTTTAAAAATAAATTTTTAATCTATACTTAATTTATTTATTATGTATTTGTTTGTTGTTGTTAAATTTTAATAGTTTTAATTTAATTGTTAATTTTAACAAAAGATTAATAATAAAAAAAGAAATTATGTTTAAATAAATATTCATTTTTTTTTTTATCCTTCAAATTTAATTATTTACTGTTCTAAATTAGCAATAAAATTTTATAGATTTTAATGCAATTCTTAATCAGGTAGTTTATATTTATTTATCCATTAATGCTCCTTAATAAAAATAAATTAAATAAGATTATTTATATAGCTATTTACCATTAATTATGAAATATCTAGTCTATTTTTTTATTCTTTTGAAAGACTTTTTATTTTTTTAAAAAAATTACTATTAAAGATAATTAAATAATAAATAAACCAATTTTTTATAAAATCAATTAATTCATTGGAATAATTTGCATTTTATGGTAATAGAGGTTCAGGTTATTATAAAATACTTTAAACAAATTCTAAAATTGATTTATTTTTATATTCATAAGGATACATCCCTGTAACTAGTTCTAAAATTACAATCCCTAAACTCCATACATCACTTCTTAATCCATATTAGTTTCCAGTTAATCTTTCAGGGCTCCTTTTTATTATTGTTTAAAAAATAAATATTTATATATAAATATATAATTTATTTTACATATACAATGTAGTACCAACAAATGTAATACACAATTCTTATGTTTTTTCCAATTATTTACTAATTCCGAAATCTGTTAGCTTAATTAAACCTTTTTTATTTATTAATATATTATCAGGTTTGATATCTCTGTGCACTTAATGTTTATTTTTATGTAAAAATTCGAGTCCTTTTAATACCTTAATAAAAAATATTAGAATAAAATTTTATATTATTATACCTAATAAACAATATTTGCTAATATAGATTCATTCATTAAAGGATCTTAATTATTTATTTATTTTAAAATATCTATTAAATTTCTAATAGAACCAAAATCCATTAATTCCAAAATTATTTTAATAGTACCTTAATCATAATATGCACCATAACATTATATTAAATTTGGATGTGTATATTAAGTTAGTAAGATTTTAAAATCATTCAACATTTAATGTCTTTTATCTTTATCAAAAATATTAACTGTCTAAAAAAATAAATAAATAAATAAATAAATAAATATATAATAATTTTAAATAAATATAATAATAAATACTTTTTTACTTTTTTTATTTTTAAAAAATGATTTTTTGTATTTTATTTTTTAATTAACTTCTTTTTTATTATATTATTTTTTTTTTGTTTACCTTAATACTAATTGGATAATTGTTTGGTTTATATATACCTTTATAAACATAAGATGATGCTCCTTATCCTATAATTTCACCAATCTATATTTATTCATTGTTTTATGTATTTAAAAGAAATAATTTTACAATATATGTTTTTTTTTTATAAAAAATTTTAAAATATTAACTTCAATTTCTTCTGCATGAATTCCATTTTACATATTTTACATTTTATTTCCTGTTGAAATGCTTGAAATTCCATCTTTCTTAAATTACAAATCAAGTTTAGGAAATTTAACACCATCTTATTCACTTTTAATTTAAAAAATAAATTAAATTTAGAAATTTTTTTTTAATATTACATAACGCATGATATTGATTATATTAATCCTTCTTCATCTAAATCTAAAAGAAAATCTTATTCCATTTATAAAGTAAATTTATTGATTAATTAATAAATATAAAAAGATATGAAAAATTAGTTTTTTATAATATTTATATATTTATTTAATTTTTAAATTGATTTTATTATGTATTTTAATAAATAATATAAATTCTTATTATTTAATTTGAAAGAAATATATAATATAACATTATAAATTCATAAAATTTTTGACTTATATTGTATTATATTTTTATTTTATTTAAAATGTCCTATTATTATTGTATACAATATATAAGTGATAATAATTATTTTTAAAATAATTTTTTAATTAGTAATTTTTTTTAGTTTGTATTACTAAAATTATTCTTTTTAAATTAATTTTTTCCGGAGAAGAATATACATTGTTGCAAAATTATAATAAAAATAAAATAGATATCCTTTTCCTAATTGATAATTTATAACTTTCGTTTTTTTATTAGCTTATATTTAATTTAAAATTAAAAGAAAGGATTTTATAAATTTTTATAGAAATTTAAATTAGCTTTAATATAGTATTTACAAATTTTGATTTCGAATTTAAAACTAAAGTTCAATATATATTTTTGTTAATTTATATTTAATTCTAATAAATAATATAATTATTAGTTTAAAGATATATATAATAATATTTTACTTATTTAAATATATGATATTAATTTTTATAAATAAAATTATTTGTACTCTTATTTATTAAAATATATAAAAAATTTTATAATTATTATTATATCATATAGATATTAAACTTTTTTTTTTTAATTGAAGAAAATTAGAATTGTTAATAATATTAACTAAAAAAATTCAAATTTATTTAAAAAAATAAACTTATTATTTTCAAAATGTTTATATTTTATACTATTGAAATTAGAAAAAAAAATTAATGTTTTCTAATTAGTAAAAAATAAATTATAATATGTTATCTTTATTAATTATTTATACATAATAAAATAATTATTTATACATAATAAAATTATTTAATTTAAAATCTTATTTTATATTTTTTTTAATAAATTAAATTATTTTATTATTTATTTTTAAAGATTTATTTATTAATTAATATATATTATCCATTATACAGCAATAATTTCTTTCAAAAAAAAATCATTATTTAAATATTTTCTCAAATAAACATAAACAAAAATTAAAGAATACATAAAGAATCAAGAATTTACAAAAGAAATATATAAATTTAAATAATACATAATTTAAATTTTAAATTTATTTTTTATTAATTATAATTTTTGTTAATAAATATTTTGAAATTTTTTATATTTATTAATATATTTTTATACATAAAATATAAAGAAAAATATATATTTATATTTTTATGATTTTCATAATTAATAAAAATTATAAATTATTTAAAATAATTTTATATAGAGCTTTTTTCTCATAAAAGTTCATTATTGAATGCCTGAAGAATCAAATTTAAAAACTAAAGTAACACCTCAAAGATGATAACATAATAGGAGTATTTCAGGAAAATTTCTATAATTATATAATATTATAATAAGAGAAATAGGCAAAACTGCAGCTGAATTAGGTACATTGTGTACCATGTGTTTAGTCTATATCTAAAATACCGAAAAATATTATACACGAAATATAGGATTTAAATCTGTTTTACTATTTACAAAAGACAGAAATACATTTGAAGAATTAAAAGTAGACAATAGACTTGTAATTTTATTAGTATAGGTAGAATTAATAGTAAATTTGAAGTTTGTAGGTAATTTGTAGATATTAATCTTGAAGATTAAATATTTTTATAGATATTCCTCATGTCCTGATGTTCTTATATCAGTTGGGAGAATATTGGATTTCACAGTATCTCGGATATTTATAATATTAGTATTCCATGCGGTGGTCTTTTTGATTATATAGATATTGAACCTATTCATTAAGTTATTAAAAAATTTGGGTACCATAGTAGATTATAGCAAATAATTTGAAAAGTTTGGCTAATGAATATGCATCAAAATATAATATCTTCGTAATTTAAGTTTAAATTGATTCTCAATAAATTAAATAATAATGTATTAATTTAGCTTTTTCCTTTAATTTTCATTTTATTGAATTTTTATATTTATATTGTGTAAAATTATTAAATTTAAAACTAAAATTAATAAAAAAATATTTCTTTATAAATATTTAAGCTTTACTCATTATTAAATTAAGTATTTTATTTTATTATTAATAGTTATTGATCGTTAAAAAATAGACAAATGTTTATATTTACAATTTATTATTATATATATATAAATATATTATAACTAAAACAAATAATATGTTCCTAATTTTTGTTATTATATCAACCTTTATAATTAAAGACACTATCTATAATTGTTTGACAATTATATATATATATATATATATTATTTTAAATATTTTTTATTGAATTAATATATTTTAAAAATTTACTAAAAAATTATTTATTTATTCTATTTTTATGATTTAGCGAAAAAAAAAAACTAATCATTAATCTAAATAATATTTCGCCAATATGAAATAGTTCCTTTTAAAAAAAAAATATATATAAACAAGAATTTATTAATTTTTTGCACTTAAAGATTATATTCTTTTATAATTTTTTTATAATATAAACTTACCTATATATATTAAAGTTAATAATTAAATATTAAAATATACAACCGAAAATCTTATTTTATGAATTATTTTTATGCATTGATTATAGATGCGATTTTTAATTTTTCAAATTAAATTAAGAGTTTTAAAAATTTGTCTGAAAATTATCAAAATTAGACATGATATTATATAATTATTTTTAAACATAAATATTTAACTTTTAATTTAAATCGATTTTTTTATTATAAAATATAAATTAAAAATTATTTTTTTACAAAAATGAAATAAATAATTCAAAATAAGAAAAGAAGCTTTTAATAAGAAATAAGATAAAAAAGAAATTCATTATAATTTAATTAAATAAGGAATAGTAATTTAAAAGATAATTTTCTAGATTAAATAATTAATTAATTATAAGATTCATAAAATGAAAATGAAATTGAAAAAATAATATATAATTTAGTAACAAATTTAATGAAAAATCACAATATCTGTTATAAATATAATGCAAAAAAAATATTGATTTAAAAATTATCAACAATTAAATTAAATAAAACTACAAAATTAAATATTTTATATTCAGTTATTACTCTAAACTCTATTAATGAGAATAATTTTTGTGATTAAGAATTACTAAATGATACTTTTAACTTAGATATATTTTTACAAATCCTTAAATATGAGTAATGTATTTAACTATAAGAATATGTATTTAAATAAATTATTAATTTTTTATAACAATCTTATAAAAATAAAAAATATAAAACTGATTTACATAAATTAATTTTTTATAAAAATTATTAAAAATATAGACTTGGTCTATTATGAATTATTTTTCTTAAATAAAACCTAACATGCTTTTTGAAATAATAAAAGATAAAAAAGATATTATAGAAATTGCAAATAAATCAATTAATATTTAAATAAAGTCAGAAAATAATAGTTTAATTTAAGTTTTAGACTTTTTGATTTTTTTAATTAAATTTCATTAAAAGTTGGATACCATACAAGTAAAAAAATATTTTTAAATAAAATTAAATTAAATTTACAAAAAACATGAAAAAATTATGTAAAGTTTTAGAATATATTATATATTTTAAACCAGTTACTAAAATCAAGTAATCTATAATATATTAAAAAGATTGTAAAAGTAACTGAATAATTGATTATGAGCGATAATTGTATAAGAGATGAATTAATGGAAATCACATATAAAGTTTGCTTTTTTGAAAATATATTTAAATAGCTTATTTTTAACTAACAATTACTAGGAACTTCATCAAAAATTATATAAAATATATCTTTGTTAAGTTAATAATAAATATTAGTAAATATAAAAAGAAAATATATTTTATATTATAATTTTGTTTAATTTTTGTTTTGTAGTAATTAATAGATTAATAGTTAATTTGTGTTCTTTATTAAATGACAGAACATCCTTTTTAAAAAGTTAGAGCAGATTGTATGTTTGCCTTATCTAATATTTTTATTAACGGTGACTAAATTATAGAAATAATATCAAATTCATTACTTGATCAAAAAATATTAACAATTTTATCATGCGATTCTATTGTTGTCTAATCAGAATGTATTTATGCTTTAGCAAGTAGATTAGAAAATTCGACAATTAATCAATTAGAATAATATGTAAGCAATTAATTTGTAAATATACTTTGCTAAGCATTTAATGATTTATATAAAAACCTTCAAAGTTGTGTTTTATATAAACTGATGCAATGCTTTGTAATAATTTTAGATTTTGGTGAATACAAAGTCAAAAATGAAAATAAAGAAAACTATAATTGTAATCCTTTTTGGGTTAAAATTAAAAGCTAAGGTTGTATAGAAAATATGATATAAATATAAGAATTTTATGATGAATAGATACAAGAGATAATAACTTTTATTTTTGATAATTATTCTTGGATAAATAATCAAATATCAGATTATTAAGATTATTAGGTTGAATGATATTTTTTTTCAATTTAAAAATAATATTTATATGAAAATATATTAGATTATTGTTGAAGTATATATGTTAAATCAAATTAAAAAAATAAAATTATAAATTAGTAATAAATAATATTAAAAAATAATAATATAACTTTTTAATCAATCAAATCGAAAAAAATCGAAAAAAATGTGAAAAAAGAAAAGTACAAGCTTCTATTTGAATTTATAAAATAATTGTATAAAATGTTAATTTTTAATTATAAAAGATTAATTTTAATATTTTAATTTTAAAAGTTTAATTTTTAAAAATATTAATATATAAGAAAAATAATTAGGTTTTATGTTAAAAATAATAAAATATTATAATTTTTATAAAATTTTTAAAATTATTATACAATATGAATATTTTTTTAAAAAAATATATGCATATTTATATTTTCTAAAATAATTAATATTTCTTATCTTTTTTATAATTTAACCATTTATTATTTATTATTTTATTTTTTTTGATTTCATTTTTAAAACAAAGAAAATACTTGAAATAATTTTAAATAAATAAAAATACATGCAAAATATTATTTTATCTTTTTAATAAATATATACTAATTTTTAATTTAATAAATATATATATATATCTAATTTAAAATAAATTTATCTTTTTATAATATTTTTCTAATAAACTCTTATTTGCAAATATAAGGTTCAATCAACTTTTTTTGATACTTCTTCGAAATTCTCTTATAATTAAGGAATATCATCTTCTTCATTTTTAGCTTTATCAGTTTCTAAACCGGCCGATAAAATATCCTTTAAATCTGCTAATTATTTAGGACCTAAATGTTATAAAATATCAGGTAACAAATCTTTAACGCCTTTATTTTAAAAAAAAAAAATTGAAAATTTATTCATTTGTATATTTACTCTTTGTATCATGTTTTCCAATTATAACAAAAGTATTGCTTTAGAGTGAAGCCAAAACTATTTTTATTTAAAAAAAATATACATATATTCAAAATATAATAAAAGTAAAATAATAATAAAATTATAATAAATTACCCTCAGGACTATCAAAATGCATTATTGTTTTATCATCTTTAAACATATTCACTTCATCTATTCCTTAGAATGGTTAAACTCCGAATTTTTTAATCACAGTTTTCAATTTTTTATCATCATTAATTTGTGTTTTGCTTACTTTTTTGATTTTTCTTCTTTAAGTTCCTTTACCTCCAGTTCTTGAATCACCTATTTTCTCTTACAACTTTCTTCTGGCATCTAATACTTCTTAATTAATATCTTGATTTAATTATTTATCCATTTATTATTTAATATTTATTATTATAAAATTATTATAATCAATTTTAGTTAAAATAAATAATTAATTCCTTATTTATAATATTTAATTTTAATTCGAATAAAAAATATATTATATATTAATATATGAATTTGCAAACATATATATATATATATATATAAATCATATTGTAAAAAACAAATTATGATTAAAAATTTTCAATACATATAATAATTTATATATATGATTATATACTTATTTTTATACAATACAAACTGCAGAAAATTGTAGTTTAACCTTTATTATTAATTATATTTTATTATATAATTAATGGTATTTAAATCTAAATTATTACTTTAATTATTAGTTTATTTAGTAAAAAACATATTTTTAAATTTTAAAATCACGATTCAAATTAAAATAAATATTATTTAATATTATACCTTATTAAAAAATATATATATAATTTAGAAGCAAATTCTAATTTTCTTTATACATTACAATTTTAATAAAATGGCTTATTAAATTATTAAATTTTTTATTTTAATAATTATTAATCACTTTAAGGTATCATCTATAAAATAAATATAATATACAATAAGAAGAACTATAAATCAGTTCATTATTACCCTCAGACAAGGTAGTCTTTATTACTTTAATTTATGAAAATATTTACCAAAAATATAAATTATTGAATATTATTTTATTAATAAAACATATAATGCTAAAAAATTAAAATTAAGAATTAATAATTATTATACAACTATATCTAACTAAAATAAATAGGATGATAAATGATGTTTATTATATAATTAATTCATATAAATTTATAAGTTAAAAACTAATTACATAATTAGAACCAAATATATTTAAAAAAATTAATTTATAAAAAATCTTTGATGGCTTTTTGATGATTTATAAACTGATAAATGATAAAATTATTAAATAAAACTTTTTAAAAATATTTGTTTTAAAATTTAAAAATAAAATATTTAATATTTAATATAAATCCAGATTTGAAATGGAATATTTTTAATTAACATGAAAGTAATGTTTGATTACTTATAAGAACTTTTCTTTTTTCAAATTATTAGTGCTATTAGAAAAAAAAAATTATGTAAAAACCATCCAAAAATAGTTTCTTAATGATGAAAATAGGTTCTAATTTTCCTTAATGATAGAATTATATTAAAATGAATTTTTTTTAAAGAATTATTATTTATAAAATTAAATATAATGGAATATATTTATATTTGTGAAAAAATAAAATTTTAATATGATTATAAAAAATTTAAAATTAGAAATTAAATATAAAAAAATCATTCTAATATCAATTTTAATATAATAGTTGGATATTATATAAATTACTTAGAGACGATAGGTTTTGGTAAAAATTTGTTTAAGAAAACTTTTATTCAATAGTTTAAAATCTTTATTTCTACTTTAAATTTTATAATTAAAATTAGTAGTATATAATTAATAAATAATTTATTTTATGTTTCCTAATAAAAAATTAAATGTATTTAATTTAATTTCAGTACTTTAAATTTGTTTCTAATTTATTTTCGAAACTAAGATATTCTTTTATTTTATTTAAAGCAAAATAATATTTGAAACACCATTAAATAAATTAAATTACTTTTTAGAATAATTTAGATAATTACGTTATCCTGACTAACTTAATGAAATTTAAAACTTTCATTTTTATTTTTGAAATAAAAGTGAGAAAAATAATTATCTTAATTTAAAAAAATAAAAAAGCATCTTAAATAAGTAAAAAAGAATACACAGTTATTGCAGATGTTTGATTTCTAAATATTTAACATTACTATCTTATAATATTAAAGCAAATTCTTAATATTATAAAAATCAATTTATTAAAATAAAGGCAATAAATGCTGAACAAATTTAATAAAAATGGTGAAAATTATATAATTTAGTTTAAAAGAAAAAATCTTAAAAAAATTAAATAAGAACAATATAAATTTAATTAGAAAATATTAAACTTTGATGATAATTTTTATAAGAGCGGTATATAAAATATTATATTTTTAATAAAAGTAAGAAATTAATATTTAAAAAAAATAATAATAAAAAAAACAAACACATTGTTAATTAAAATTAATGTAAAAAATGTTATAAAATATGTTAAAGATTAAATAAAAAATAATATAAATTTAAAAAGGAAAAGGCTATAAATATTATAAACATAATTGATATTAGAGAAAATATTTTAAATAAAATAATATAAATATATATAAATAAATTTTTTATCAATTTAAAAAAATGTAAAAAATTTAAAAATAATAAAAATAAAGTTTTATTACATTATCTTCTATAACAAAATAATATTTTCATAAATTAAATATCAATTAATTAAATTACTAATTTTATTTTATTTAAATAATTTAATTCAAGCAATTTTATCAAAATATTTAATTTTAATAAAGATCTTTTATGTAAGAAATTAGAAGTTATATCTGTTATTTGTAGATATTATTATACTTAAAATTATTTATATTAGAAGAAAACTTTTAATTAAAATAACTTACAATATATTACATTGCAATCCGATTTCAACCTTTTAATAATTTATTAAAAAATAAAAAATTATAGATTGGCTAATATATTATTTAATTTATAAAAGTAAATATAATTGAAATTAATAACATTTTAGATGAATATAATATTTAATAAAATATTCAAACTATTTTATAAAAAAAATTATATTTATATTTTATTTAATTTATATAATATAAAAGATAGCATAAAATTAAACTAGACTAAAATAAAAATATTATTTAAAATATAAAAATTAAATTAAATTTAAATATATTAATAATTAAATTTTAAAATCAAAAAAAAATCAAAAATAAAAGTTAAAAATTATTAATTAAAAATTAATGAATATCCAATTGTATATAAAAATTAATATTTAGAAAAAAAAAATATATTAAAATTATTTTTAAATGTATAAAATTACAAGTAATAAAAATAAAAAAAAATAACAAAAGAAAAAGAATAAAAAATATGTTTATAAAATATTTTTAATTATTTAAAATTTAATTTAAAAAAGTAAAATATAAAAATATTACATATAATAAGGTAAGATAAAAAAATATGGAAATGATATAGAGATTATTGATAATAATAAAAATAAAATATTTATTTAATAAAATAATTATTTTTTATTTATTTATTTATTTATTTATTTATTTTTTTTATTTATTTATTTATTTTTTAATTTTTTTTTTAATTTATTATAGTTTATTATTTTTTTTATGTAAAAATTTTACTTTTTTTATTTTTTTCTAAATTATTTATAAATTATATTTTATGTTTAATTTTTATCATCATATTTTTTTATGTATTTTATTTATATTTTTTTTTATTTTAATAACAAACATATTTATATATATTAAAAATTTATAACTTCATTATAACACTAAAATATAAAAATAAAAAATATTCATTCTTTATATTTTTTTTATAAATATTCATTATTTAGTTTTCTATATTATAAATATTAAACAATTATATTATTATCCACATCTATTATCCATATAATTTTCCTTATATTAATTTCTATATTAATTTTTATTAAATAAATGCAGAAGTAATTTAATAAATAAAATTATCAAAAAATATTACTATAAAATAAAAAGGTAACCAATTATTATATATATTTTAGAATTATTTTTAAATATTAATAAAATTTTAGTAATAACAAATTGTGGCTATAAAAATTAAAAAGAAACAAGACAAAAGTTTTAATAATTTTAT